CGGCCGCAGCGTTCGGTGGCGCCCCAGAAGTAGGGGAGCGCTGCGGGAGTACGACGGAGGGGATTGCCGGGGGACGCTCAGGGCTACGTTGCACAAACTTTTCTCAGTTCTCCCATTCCTAGTCACGGGAACCGTGCTGGGGAAGGACCGTTCCCCCTGTCTCCGTCTGGCGCTGCTGCCGCGGCTTTTAAGTAACCGGAAAGGGCTTCTCTGGCCAGTGTGGCAGATCGGGCTGCGAGAGAATTTTCAGATCCCTTCCTGCCAAAGGCAGTGGGAAGGGAAAGTCCTCTGTTTGGTTGGGAATCGCTAAGGTGGGCCATAAAAACAATTGCAAACTGTAAGAGCCCTGCGTTTGAGTTGAGGTGATAGTTTAAAAGGCTGCAAAAGGTACTCCCTTCCCTGAAGGGGAGGAGTAGGAGGGCTTAGACTCCGCAAGCGCTTGTAGGCGGCAGACCAGTAGGTAGAGCAGCCCCATGAGAAGCTGGTAGATTGCAGGGCTAATGACTGTGGTTCCCCATAACCTCTGGCAGAGCCAGCGCGGAGCTCGTATGTGAAGACGTGGTTGGGTAATTGAACGTCTGCTTGTGTGAGACACCAGTAAACGAGCAACGCTACTGGCAGCGTACGTAATCCCTGAGCGTGTCATGGGTCCTGCATGCACAGGCTTGAAATACAGCAGCAGTGCTTTGGACAAGTTACACTACTACATGCAAATGATTAAGGCCCACATCTTCCTTCCAGCTGGAGAAATGGTATGCCTGTTAAAGATATGGTTGGCACAGGAGACCCAAAGCCTCTTTGACTTTCTAAGGTTGGTTTTGAATATATTACTACATTATCAGTTGCCTGCTGACCTGTGGTGCATCGCAGAAGTCTTGATGGTTACTTTAGCTTGTTCTGCATTGTTTCAAACACGAAAGTTTGCAGTGCTTGAGCCAAACGCCATCTTATCAGCCTGTTTTGTACAGGCACAGGCAGCAGCAGGCCAGTGGCCCGTGGCTGCTCACAAAAATTATTCTTTCTCTTTGCTGTGATCATGATCTTGAAGGCATGGAAGAAGAGGAGCGTTGACAGTACAGCTAAATTCCCTGTGGTTATTACTCCTGTTCTGAAGTGGGAGCACTGCAGCAATGTCAAGGAGGATGGAGAAATAGGATGATGGTGCCTGCTAACCTGGACCTGAGCTGTCACTTTAGAAAGACACATGGCCATCGTCAGCTAGCTGTTGCATGTCCTCCGCGAGCTGCTGATGCAGGCGAGCTGCTGCTCTACTGGGGCAGCTGCTGTAGGCTCCAGCTGAAATGAGGAGAGGTTTTCCCAGTCTGAATCAGCACGGGGGTGGTTTGCCCTGAAGTGCATTGTGGCACCAGCAGTAGGCTGAGGAGGCTCTCTGTTTTCTCCTGGAAAGGAGGATGGAGGCACAGCTGCAGATATATTGGGTCACCTTGAGAATTAGCAAATTACTCAGTCATACTGTGGGAAGAAGTGCATTTCCTCCTTTCCTGGTCTTTTAAAAACCAGTGGCTTTGGTGCTAATTAGCAACTGTGATTGCATTCTTTCTACTGCACAGCTAGAAAGCAACTTTACAAAACCTAGAAAGTCCTTTCAAGGCCTTTTGTAAGGGCTCCTTACTGCCCTTTAACTCTTCTGCATGTCTGAAATTGAGTTGCAAATGCTTTCCTTGTTTTCTTAGTGGGTTTTTGGTTGCATGTATGCAATTGCTTCTATCTATGCTCTAATTTGCTAGTATTTAGAAGGAGCAGATAGGAGGAGGAACAACTATGTGAACCCCGTAATGTACTCTGAGAAGATTAAGTTTGTATTACCTTAAATAGCAGCTGTTTTGACATAAAGTTAATTTTTCTACAGTCGCCCTTATGTCTGAAGGTCTGTATGCAGCTTTTCTAGCTTTCTCTCCCCATAACTCACATCTGGCTTGGTCTTGGCTACTGTGCAGTGATGGAGGTTGGGTGGGTGTTGTCTCAATGTGGGATTTCTGGGTGCACCTTGAGAGAGAATAATTTTCACTGCTCTGTGCCTTTAGTATGCCTCCTAAATTGGTAACAGAAGATAAGAAGAACAGCCCCCTTGCTTGCAAAGCAGTTTAGCTAAATAAACCACAGGCTTGACAGGAGCAGGGTGCCAAGGAGTCGTTCTGGAATCACCAAGAATGCAGCAAAGATGTGGCTGTTCCCTTGCCTTCCTCTAGACAGGCAGATCTGTTGGCAGGGCTGGTAGTTGTGATCCATAACGGTATTTCCTTAGGTTGGATGAGAGCGTCCCATTGATGGTGGTGGCAGGCAGCCACCTCGCTTC